CATGTTCTGTCTCATACCTGTTGGCTGGGATGGTTCACACTTGTGTGGAGCAAGTCAGCTTTGCAAGGGTGCTGTTGATTATTCTGATATTTTGGGCATCAAGAGGCTGACTACCTTTAGAAAATCTTATTCTCTGAAGGTCTTTGCTTTGGATAAAAACAAAAATTGCAATGTATATCATAAAGTGTTGTAGACATTTACAGTAATTTTTTTAGCTCTAATATTGAACCTGTGTTCAAAATTAATATGGAGCATGACCCATTGATTCTCATTTCTGGCTTGAAAAGATGATATATTAAGATGTATTGAGGTTCATAAATGGATTTACAGCACGTGGTTTTTTAAATACTTTTGCAGTGGAATTTCAGGAATATTTTTCTTGCTGTTTCTGATGCACTGGTGTCTGCAGTGCACTAAAAAGGTGATATATGAGTATGTGTAGCTTAGGGAATTGAAAACCTCAATAAAGAAATCTTTGATTTGTTGTCTGTCCCTCAGTGCTGATCTCCCCCTGCAGCGCCAGATCCAGGTTCTGCAGAGCTGCAGAATGCAGTGTGGCAGTGGCAGAGTCCTGCAGGGGCTCTGAGCTGCTCAGCAGGTTCAGGGGCAGGGGAGGGGGGTCAGGAATTGCCCCCTGTGGTTACCCCATGGCAGAGGTTCTGCCAGCCCTGGGCCCATGAAATGGTGGCAGTGTTTATATGAAATTATCCACACTCTGGGCTGATCAATGTGTTCAGGACATTCCAAGGATCACCCTGGAGCAGGTTGGAGTCAGAAGGTTTAGGTGTGATTGTTCCTTGCAAAGGTTTCTTTCATCCTTTCCCACTTTGGTCTGTATTCAGCTTTTGTCTAAAAAGAGGATATGCTCCTCATCCTAAAATAAATTGCTAAAGATGCTGGGAGATGAATTGTTTGAGAGCTTGGTGAGCCTGTGGTGTGTAACCAAGATAATCTTTATCTCTCAGTGCTTGTGGTAATCTGCAAGGACACCTGAAGCTGCAGTGTGGGATTTGATAAATATAGAAGCATGAGTTCAAGGCATCCTCTCCAAAAATCAAATCTCAATTATGATGTTATTTTTTAAAGGATTTGGATGTTTCATATGAAACTGATTTGGAATGTTCATAGATTTGCATTGCCTTTAAATAAGTTTCATTTCTTTTTTGTACAGCTCCCCCCATACAATGAAACAGTTTCATGTGGTATTAAATCCACAGGTAAGTTTCATGATGGTAAGAAATCAAGATTTTTTTTTTTTTAAACTTCAAGGTTGTGACACTTTCCTGAGATTTACTGTAACCTCTCTTTGAATACAATTGTTACAACTTGCTCAGCACCTACACAGGCATAATTAGGTTGGATTTTTAAACTTTCCTGAATGATACCTGTGAGAGGTTTGGAAAATCCTGCATTGAACTTCAGCTGATTACAGTGGGCATCTTACACCTCCTTCCCTGTGCTGCCCAGTCAGAGCCCTGTGCAGACACTGTGGATGTGGCTGTGAGGATGAGGGGGCTGAAGAGCCACAGCATGAGAATCCTCTGACAGTTACAGCAAGGCTGCTCTGCAGGCACTGCTCTGCTCTGTGCTCCCTTTGGCTCTTGTCTCTGCCTGGCTTGGCTGTTTGCTGGAGAATCCTGGTTTGGTTTTTTTAATCTCTTGATGAAGGTGTGACTTGATTGAAAACTAAATTAAAGAGTTCCCCTGTTAAAGCTGTAACACTCACAGGTCTCCTCTGCCTCAGCCCCAAAACCTGCCCTTACTTCAGGGCTGCAAGAAGTGGACAGGGAGGTGGGAGCTGCCCTGGCATCATCACTCTGAATAGAATTCCACAGAATTTTAAGCAGCAGGTAAAATCAGGTTTTGGTTTATTCCCTGAACCAGAGAGCAAGGAAGCTGAGACCTAGACAGATGTAAATGAAAATGACTCCAGGTCTCCTTGGGAAATCATGGAAATATCTGACTGAACATTTTCAAAAGTGCTCAAAAGAGGACCAAACCCCACATTAGTGTTTGGGAGCCCCTGGTCATTGTCCTTAGAGGCTTTGGCCTTTCTTTGAAAGGTAAACAAGATAGGCAGTCAGAAAGAAGGACCAGAGATCTCATTGGAGAGCAGATCAGCAGCACTTCTGACAATTCAGAAATTTTATTTAGTACCAGTTTTAGGACCCTGAGTAGTTCTAAATAGGAGCTGGACAGGTTCTTTAAAAAGACCATCTGGTGTGAATTGTCTGTTGCTGACAGGGGCATCCAGTCATTTATTTCTTTGTCTAACTAGATTTAAGTTTTGTTCTTTCAGACTGAGATTTTAATGTTCACAAGCCATACAGAAAGATGGTTTGTACAAATGTCTTTCAGATCATTCCTAGACCTTGAGAGAACCCTTCCCAGCCCTGAGATTAGGTAATGACAGCAAATTAGGTTTTGCTTGAAAACTGTCTTTAACAATCTTGCACTGTACTGTGCATGCACGTTATCACTGTGGTGGCTGCATAGGAAGCTGTGCAAACTAAACTGGAATGCTTGGTCATGCAGAATATTTGTATTTTTATATGATGACACACACTTACCATGTTACCATTCCCCATAGTCTTCATTTTTTACTGTATTCTCTTCAGTGTTTATTTCAGAATCAGAAGATCTGTCAGCACCTCCTAGGAGTAATCAAATCATGGTTTAAGCTCTAATGTGCAGAACTCTGTTCACACTAATTAGTGCTGTGCATTCACAGATCTGGGGTTGTACCCAGACTGTCCTTGGAGCATCTGCTGGTGCTTGTTTCAATATGTGTGCCACGTTGTTCATGGCACAGGGATCTGTTTCAGTCCATTCAAAATAGAGCTGTGAACTAGATTGAAACAAAGATGCCCTGAAGCAAAATGGAAAGTCAAAACAAATCAGAAAAAGTATTACCTCCTATTTTCCTCAAATAAACTTGACACAATCTTACAGCAAATGAGCTTCTGCCAGTCATTCACAGACTAACTGTACAGTTGCTGCTGGTATTTATTATTCTAATCCTGCTGTGAGGTACAAAGATTAATTGCTCAGCTGTAACTTCCTAATTTGTTTGTTAAATGCTACAACATCAGTTCTGCTCTTGGCAAGGTGTCAGCCTATGATGTTGTGTAAGGGATGTGTTCTGTTTTCTGCTCCCCACTAGCCCTGAATGTAAAAACTAGAAAAAAGCTCCCTTAGATGATTTTTGCCAGGTTGGTTCTGGGTCCCACAAGCGCTGGGAGCTTGCTGGGGACAGAGGAGCAGGACAGGGTGCAGAGGTGACAGCTTTTACCTTGGCCTCTGATGGACTTGACTCACCCACAGAGGGAAACCTCATTCTTTGTTCTGAAGCAATTGCTGTTTTCTAGAGCTTGGATTTTAGAAAAGAAGTAGTCATGAATTATTTGAAGTAGTAGGGATTTGAAATGTGCCCAGAAATTCATTTTTGTCAAAGTTGGAGGAATATTGGGTGTTAGCAATTGTTGCCTGTGCTTTGTGCTGTTGTAACAAAGAGCAGAAAGAGCCATAAACAGATGAACCTGTATACCTCAAATAGTCAGATTATTAGATCAGTGCAGAAAAGCAATTAGCATCTTTTTAATTTGTTCATTAAATCATAATGTGTTGGTATTGCATGGATAAGTCAGACCTCAACACACATTGTATGTTTGTTACTCTTCATTTGGTATTTAAAAATGCAGATTCTTGTTCCCTTCACATTTTTTAAACCTAAAATATTTGTTAGCAGATTTTTCTAGAAAACATCCAGAACTGCAAAACTTTTATATTGACAGCCATATATCAAAATAATCCCTGCTAGAATGTTTTCCCAGAGGATTTTTTTCCTTAGGTGTGTGAATAACTTCTTTTCTGGGAACTGTTGGTTGCTTTTTGTTGTGTTTAAAAAAAATCCACCTCATTTTTAGTGAGTCTGTACTTGCAAATATGTATTTGGTGATGTCATGCATAATGTAAGTGGCACAAAATCTGAAAAGTTTAGTGCTGTATCCACTTGATTCCTTTAAATACCTGGTGTTGTTTGGTTCTGTAGTAAATCTTAAAAATTGGAAATGTATGTTTAAACCCCCATCGTTCAGGAAACACAAAATATTAAAATGTAATGTCCTTGGAACAGTAGCACACATATCATAAAGACCTGCAGAGCTTTGAAATGTCAGCTTACCTTCAAAATTCCTGAAACTTTCATTAATTTTATATCTTTACTCAGTAGTTACTGAAATAGTTGTAGCTGAAGTATTCAGTGTTGCCACTTAGCACACATACATTATAACAAGAAATAAATTCCAGGAAATTGCAGAACTTGGTGGCTGAAAATATTTTGTGATACTGAAGCCTGCCATGAGAATATTTCTTTAGTTCCAGGGTAAATAAATAAATCAATAAAACAAAAAAAAACTGTTCATAAGTTTTCAGTACAATTCCTAGGGACAAGTTGAATGCTGATTTATGTTGAGGAATGTGTTGTGTTTTGTGTCATAAAATCCTGGATTCACGTATATCATTAGTCTCTCATGGTAATACATTTAATTGTGAAAAAATTATTGAAGTTATAAATGAGCTTGGAGGCTCAAAAGCTTTAATTGCAGTGTGCCATGCAATTAATAAATATATTTTTCAGTTATGTTTAGTTGTGATAAATCCCACCAGAAAAAACCAAACCCAGCCCCTCAAAAAGCAAACCTCACATATGGAAAGTTAAAAAGGAAAAGGCTTAGATTTTGTAGTTGTCAGTTGAACAGACTGGCTTGAAAAAAGCATGGAATTAAGTGTTACACCGTATTTCACAGGCAATTACCCAGTAATTCATTTAATACAGATTATTCCTATAGACCTTGGATTTTAATAGTTTTCTTTTGAGGGGAATTTAATTGGGATTATGTGCAGGATTCTACAGTGATTTGGAAATTACATAACCCTGGTTAAGAAAACCTGAATCCTGCTCTGCTATCTTTAAGAAAATGATGTTTTGAAAGTTGTCCTGGTTGAGAATGAGAATTCCTTTTGTTTGGGGAGTGTACTTTGTTTTGTCAGTTACAGCAAAATAGGAGAATGAATCTAAAAGCTACAAAAGCAAGGAAAACAATGTGATTCTCTGACTGAGATGTGCTTTCTCTTGTCCAGGGGAAGAGTATCAGAGAATAGAATTTGGTGTTAATGAAGTTATCGAGACTCAGTCATCTGTCCTGAACAACACCGACTACAGCATTTCGAGCACTCTGAACCCTCAGGCTCCAGAGTTCATTCTCAGCTGTGCACCCGCTCAGAAAAGCCCGGATGATGCTCTCAGCGACACCACCTACAACTCCATTGACTGCCAGTTCAGTGACCCCACCCTGGCTCTGGACAGCGGCTCCAACGCCGAAAACGACGCCTTGCCTGGGGGCCTGGGGCAGAGGGAGAGGAAAAAGAAGAAGAAAAGACCCCCTGGGTACTACAGTTACCTGGAAGATGTCCCTGACGGCGTGGCCGCCCCTGAGGCGCTGGTGAACGGCCACGCCTCGGCCGCGGGACTCAGCAGCGCCGAGGACGCGGAGCTGCCCGGAGACCTCCCCTCGCTGGCCACGCCGAGGACTTGCAGCAGCCCCGGCAGCTCCGTGGATTTCCTGGGCGGAGCTGCGTGCGCCGAGCCCGGCCCCGGGGGCAGGACTGGCGGGCAGGCCGAGCTTTGCCGCCTGGCGCACTCGGAACAGTTCTGCCTCCCCCCGGAGGCCGTCAGAGAGAGCCCCCTAAGGACAGCTGTTGTACAGGCCTATGCCGGTACTGATACTACTGAAACTCTGGGCGTTGCTAATGGACAAACACTTGAATCCTCCTCTGGTGAGGACACGGCTGCCAATGGGGTAGAATTGCACACTGTGGAAAGCTCTGACTCAGACCAAGCTAAGCCTGAGGAAGCTTCACCTACTACTGAGGCGACGGTCCCGCTTGCAGGATCAGTCCCTGTTAATCAGCCTGCAAAGTCGTGGGCTAGTCTTTTTCACAATTCCAAGCCCTCTGCTTCCACATCTGTGGTCTATGTTGAGACTAAGTATACCCCTCCTGCCACATCTCCTCTGGTCCCTGAAAAACAGGTTGAAGTCAAAGAGGGGCCTGTTCCAGTTTCAGAGGATCCCGTAGCCATAAAGATTGCAGGTATAGTTACACGCACGAGTGGATGTTCCACTGCCAGGGTTTAGCTCTGCTTGTGAGCAGGAGTGTGCAGAATTGATAGAGAACATTCCTCTGGTAACGAGCTGGCTGTTCAAACACTGCATTTGAATGAGGCAGTTTGTATCCCCCTGAGTAAACATTCCAAGCAGGCATTGCCATGTCATTATCCCAGGTACAGGGAAACTCTTGCTGCTTGTCAAACAACTTGTCAGAGAGTCTGTGGAAGTGATCTCTGGTTTCAAATGGGCTGTGTGCTGTTACAAAAATGAGACTATGTTAGGTTTGTATGAAAATGGTGTGTTACATTATCCAATATTTACAATTTTGTAGTATTCCATTGCAAGAAGAGTATTACTGTATTTATACCAAAGTAGCTGAAATTCCTGGGCACTAAACAGCAGTTGAAGTGTAATGGCTACATAGGTCTTTCTTCAGAAATTTCAATTCAGAAAATAACTATATTTACTAAAATGCTTCTTGAGGGGTCTCTCCTTCCAATTTAACCATTACAAACAGTATTGCTTTATCCATAACCAATACTTGCTGTTCCCAGTTCAGGAATAACCCTCAGGAGCTGTCCAGAGGGGACATCAGGACAGGGAATGAGTGATCCAAAAGCTTTGACACCTGATCATATTTGTGCTCTTAATGGGAAATGCTGGAAACTGCAGGCAGCTGGTTGTGCAGATTCAGCAGGAATGGTGAAGTTCTCCCAGCTTGGGTGCATTTTGTGTCACTGACTCACCAGTGTTGGAACCAGAGTAATCATTTTAAATCTGTGAAGTGGTCAGTGTGAGATGGCTCTGTGCAAGTCCTGCTGTTTATGCTACAAGCTCATTTACAGGTGCAATGCTGCTTTGAAAGTGGCAGCTTCAGGTCAGGTTTGCACTCTGAACAGAAGCTGAGCTGGAGATGATGTTCAGAGTGCCCAGAACTGTGTGCTGCCTCTCTTCCCTCCTTACTCAGCAGTGGTTCATTACTCAGAATTGTCTGTTGGGAGAAAAGCTGTCAGAAAAATTTATATTTCAATGTATTTTCCACTTAGGTGTCACAAACACTCTAAAGATATATATATATATATATATATATATATATAAAAGAGCAGGTGATTACAGTCTGTATAAACCCATATGGAGAATGTTTTCTCAAAAATCTCAAGCTATCATTTGGTAATGATTTTTAACTTAAAACTCTTTTGTGACCGTCATAAAGCTAGGATTGCTTGCCATAAATGGAAAAGGTTTTTTTCTCTTGTCCAAGCTGTTCCAGCTGTAAGTTAACTTTCTAGACTTTCACTATTTCTGTACTATTTTTTGCCACCAGGTGGGAGCAGAGCTTTTTATTCTGTCTTCACTGTAGTAAAACACAAATGTAACTTTTACCCAGTTTTCTTCTGCACCTTCACTATTAGCTTGCTCTTTGGGCAGAGGAATAATCTGAATATAGATAAAAGGAATTTATCTGCCCATTGTAGCTGGTTTAGGTAGGAGTTATTGCTGCAATTCCTGTAATTCAGATGCTGCTGGTTTTGGTGTAAAATGTTTATTGAAGATCTGAATGCCTTGTGATCAGTGCTTTGCTCTGTGGAAAAAGGTGTTTTTCTTTATTTTCTTTATATGTACTCAAAAAACAGATACCTGAGTGCTTTGTTCATCCTCCCACACTCAAAAATGTGCTACAAGAATTCCAGTTCATGCTTTCCAGACAGAGCATTGCTGTGTTCTGTAGATATTTAATTTCAAATCTCCTGCCTCAGTCATCATCTCTGTGAGAGGCTCTGTGTGTTTGTCAGCTGTGTTCCCTATTTGCCCTGTGGCTGAGTTGAGATCCCCTTGTTGGATTTGCTGGGAATTCAGCAACTTCAGCTCATTCCAATGGGAATGAAATTTTTACCACAAGTTCCATGGGGTGCTGGACACAGGTAAACTCTACACCTGAATTAGCAGGCAAAATGAACAAATCAAATGAACAAATCAAATTAACAAATCAAATGAACAAATCAAATTAACAAACAACCCAGTGCTGGAGTGCCGAGTTCCTTCTGCACAGTTTTTATTTAGAACACAAGAAGAGGAGTTGCTTTTCCAGGGACAAATTGTTGGTTTGTACTCCAATTTCAGCAATTATTACAAGGGAGGTTAATGATTCACAGGCACCCTGAAGATCATTTAATGCTGCTTAATTCAGCCTGCAGAGATCTGGGCTTGCTTTAGTCTCAGAGACAGAAGCTGCACAAGGTAAGGAGATGATCAGGACTAGAAAATAAATAGAACAGACAAATTTCATGTTAATCTTGATGAGAAACAAATGCAGAAGAGGTAATTTTAGCAAGTGCCCAAGATGCATCTGCTGTGCAGGTGCAGAAAGGGACAAGTGCAGTAATTATGCACCACAGCCTAATTTAGATGCTAGGACAAACATTTTAATAATTAATATCTGAGGGATAGTAAGGTCATAAATTTAGATGGGTAAAAATGTGACTCTTCAGGGCTTTACTTGCCACATTTCACAGCTGGTCCCCTGCAATTATAACCTGAAAATTAATAAAGCCTTATATAGTGTAGGAAATAAGTGATTAGAAAAATATCAATTCTCTGAGTAGTCTTTTAACTATTCTTGGTGATCTTAGGAAGAACTGCAGTGAGAGAATCTAAACCAATTTTCTGAATAATATTTTCTTGCAGTGTTTTTACTGTGGGTGATGGAGGTAACAGTGCCCATAAAATCTGTTTACAGCAGAGAGGATTTCAGGTGAATCAAAGAACAGAAACTTTTAGAATCTGACTAAATCTGGAGTGATTTTAAACTAGAAGGAAGGGAATCCAATAAATGCAAGTGTGGAAGACACCAGAACACCAAACCAAATGAGAGTACAATGTGAAGAACTAATGGTGGACATATTAGACAAAAAAATCTGGAAATTCCAGGGAATTGATGAGTCTCTGTAGTACATCTGTGAAAAAAGTTTTTTTTCCCAGTGTGTGTTAATACCAATTTACATGGAAAACATGAAAAATAACAAATTCTGCTGTGGAGGACTTGATGCAATGGCAGTCGTTGAGCTTTCCTTCTGAAGGAAAATTTCATGGTGCAGCAGCAAAAATGGAAATAAGATTTAAAAACCATGTGGGTAAACATGAAATATTCAGAGTTAATTTGTGTCAGATGATGTTGTTGGCACGACCATGGTTGTAAATCTAAATTTACAAAACAAATCCATAAAGAAGATGGTGATTCATAAAGTGAAGAAGATCACTTCTGCCAAGGCTAGTGATAAAATGAAATTAATTCACATTGTAAGAAAGGTGTTTCAGTGTTATATAGTAGAAGATTTTTTCTCATTGTAAAGGTAGGTAAATGCTAGAGCAAGGAGCTGTGGAGACATCCAGGATCTGGGGCTTTTATAATCTTCAGAAATGCAGCCTTTTGTTCATTCAAACTTGTTTCTTACAGGAAATGGTTTTGTTTAGGGACATCCAGCAGTGTTTTTATTGGGATTTTTTAGGCCTTGTCCAGGTTTGAGGAAAGGTCAGTGACAGAGGCAATATTGTCTAAATCAGGGCCTTAACCCAGGAGTTCAGTTCTGACTTGGAACCACCTTTATCTCTTCAGCATGGGCACCACACCCACGGGGCTCCTCTTGCCTTAAACTCTGCACTTTGTTTGTTTAGGAAATCACCTTGCTAAAAAAAATGTGAGAGGTAATTGTAATAACAAAACCCAATGGATGAACTTCAGCTAAATGCTTTCTGTTTACCAACAGAAATATCTAAACATTTCACAAATCAGTACCCTCCAAAAGAAAGAAGTTTTTGGGGTGATGACATGAGCTTTCCAACAGGTTTTGAAATGTTAAGATTTTCTCCCAGTCTGTTTTTCTTTTGATACATTTGTAAAAGTTCTTTAGTTCTGTGTGTTAATGTGAGCTGGAAATGTGCTGCTGGGTGTAAATCTGCACAGAAACCCAGGTCTGTGTTAAAAGAAGCAAAACTCCAGCAGTGGCACTGGAGCCTGTTCCCAGAGCAGCTTTGTGGCCACAAGAGGATGCTAAAGGGCCTCTTAATGCCTTTATTGAGCATGATGCAAAAACGGGCAAGAAAAGAGTTCATGTAAAAAGTTCTTGGTAGACACAAAAAATAGAACTTTTCCTTTTACTTTTATCCTTATTTTCAACAGTGATGAATTATGTTAGCAGGAATATTGTGTGTGAACACAGTTCAAATGTTGCTGCTCTGACAGTACATTCTGAAGCACTTCAGCAATAATTTAATAACATATTTTAGCCTTCACTAGAAAAGAATCTTACTCTGCATCTGTGCTACCTCATCTTCCATTTTACATTTCTTTGCTGTCTGCTCTTTCAGGTGGCATGTTCTTTATGTAATAGACAAGGGAATGAAACTTTTTTATTTTTTTGTCCATTTTGTTTGCTTAGAACTGATGTTATCTGCAGGAAATATCATCTTATAGATAGGGAGATAGCTTGGCAGCAGCAGGATGTGGATTTTGTTTGCAGTTCTGCCATCTCCTCTGCTTTTGTACCTACATCATGTTATTTATCTTTTTAGTCCTGTAGTGAACAGCTCAAATTCTTTCAGGTTATAGCATTTAAAACCTTTACAGCTCCTCACATTTATTATAAAAACAATTAACCCCACTGGTACACAATTGCTGTATTTTCTTGCAGTTTGTATTTTGTCTTGTATACACCTTATTTTGCAAGTTTAAAGTATATGAGCTCCAATATTTTCTTTGAACAGTTCTTATTTAGGTTTCTAAATAACAGGTCAGGATTCCTGGAAAAGCTCCTTTTGTTGTTCTTGGTTTCATAACTGGGACAGACTAATGTGCAGTGGGTTCTAAGTTTTCAGCTTGGGTTTTGAAAGCAGGAAAGAGCAGGAATTACATTATGTAAGGCTGTTATCTCGTAGATTTTGGAAGTGTTAAATAAAACTGTGTGTTCTGAAGAGCAGAGCACATCAGTCTGTGTGTTTGCACTGAGATGATTTTGTTGTGAGATTGGTGAAACTTCTGAACTGAAACTGCTGGCACTGACTACACCCCTCTTCAAAGCAGGAAAATGTGGGAAATACTCCATAAAACTGGTGACAAGTGATTCCAGCTGATTGCATTTTATATCTGTGTATGTATCTATGTAGCAATGTAAATAAAATATCTGGATTTAGGGAAACAAACACCCAGATCAATAGATCTTGCTTTGGAATGATCAGTGTTGTATCAGCATCTCCTGCTCTGAATCCCTGGATCTTCAGTGGAAGAAAAACGTCTGGTTTGGAGTGGGAGCAGTGAATGGAGTGGAAATCATCTGCTGGAGCTTCTGGGAATCTCCCTCATTGCTTTGAATTTCTGTAATGTGCAGCAGATATTTGTGTGATGTTGATGCTCAATTTGCTGTTTCTCATTCTGCAGAAATACTGGAAAATGTAAGACTAATACATAAACCAGTGTCTTTGCAACCCCGAGGGCTGATCAACAAAGGAAACTGGTGCTACATCAATGCTGTATCCTTCCCTGGGAAAAATAATGCTCTTAATTGATATTTTTGTATTCTATCTGTCAGAGTTGTTTTGGATTGCTCTGGTAAGTATTTTATAAAAGAGTTTTGTTTTCCCAGATCCTGCTGCTGTGGTTAAAATGTTGAAGTGTAGCAGGCAGAAATCCAGGGGGATTTTGGATCATTGGGCCTGGTGTGCAGGGTTGCCCTGCAATCCTGTTTGCAGTTTGTCAAAATATTTCAGAGCTGTAACTTCTCCTGACTGAAACCCTGGTGATTTCTAGCAGTGTTTCCCCTTGATTTTGTGCATCCATTTAAATGGTTATTTCTCTTTTGCACTTGCAGTAACTGTTCTTGCACTTGGGCTTTGTTTTGCAGTTTTAAGTGGATCATTTGGTTTGTGCTGAGCAGGTTGTCACTGTTGTCTCATCTGTGAAAAGCAGCATTTAATTTAAATTAATCCTACTACAATCTTCCATATGGAAGATGAGCTTGTTGTTAATGAATTGGAGTTGTATTCCCCTGCAAAAATAACTTTTATCTTGAGGAACAGAAAGCCCCTTCCCTCTATGGTATATTATGATATTAATAAAAATATTAATAATTAAGAAAAATTGTCTCCCATGTCAGCAAGGTGACACTTGGGATACCTCCAGTGCTGGTGCTGCTAGTGAAAAATGTTAACACCAATTCAAGACTGATCATGGCAGATCCTAATGAACCATTTCTAGGCCAACAACTGTGCCTTAAATAAAGCTTTCATCTCACTTAACCAGTTCTGCACATTTGGTTATGTACACTATATATCTTAGCTCCCATTTTTTCAGTCTTGAGGTTTTACATTGGTTTTTGCACATTGTAGGGGATCAAATTAATCTCTCTTCAGCTGTTGAGATCAATGCCTTATTTTGCCATTTCCCTTTCCCTCCAGTTTTTTAGTGCATTTCTTCTGTTCACTGCTCTCACCAAATTATGATCTTTTTAGATTATTATTCTTCCAGCATGTCTGGAGTTTTGCAGGTTGCTCCTGACCCTTTGCAGTGCAGAATGTCTCACAGCTCAGCAGGTTTTGCTTTGGTTGCAGGGGTGACTCAGCACCTTTAAGTTTCAGTTGGTTTCTTCCATTCTTGTCAGAAAATGTGCTCCAGGTTATCTCCTGCCAATTTTCTAATGGTTAATTCTCTAAAGTCCTTCCTATGAAAGTTCTTTTCCTCTCCTCCTCCTGGATTATTTCCTTTGCCATGAATTCAAGTTTTTGCCATGATTAAAATATCAGTGAAATCACTGCATGCTCCACGATTTTTAATACAATTTCTGTATATTGGTTAATGTTGTGATAAAGCTTCATCCTGTTTTCCAGTTAGGATTGATTTACTTCATAGGGAAAACAGAGCTGTATTTTTATTGTTTTGCATATAACTGAATATTTGGTTAATACACAGAAGCCACTTTGTGCATATTTCCTTAATGCCACTGCACAGACCCTGCAAGCCTTGGTTGCTTGCCCTCCCATGTATCATTTAATGAAGTCCATTCCAATGTATTCCAAATCGCAGAGGCCGTGCACCTCCACACCAATGCTAGACAGTTTGTAAGTAGCTTGGGAAAAAGGAATCAAACT